GAAAAAAAAAATTAGCCTGGCAACTAAAAGTGGAAAAATTAGCTGGGCATGGTGGCACATGCCTGTAGTCCCAGCTACTCGGGAGGCTGAGGCAGAAGGATCGCTTGAGCCCAGGAGTTTGAGGTTGCTGTGAGCTAGGCTGGTGCCACGGCACTCACTCTAACCCAGGCAACAGAGCAAGACTCTGTTTCAAAAAAAAAAAAAAAAGTCAATGCTTTACTCTAAAAGAATGGAAATCTTGGTGCAATATAAGGCCTCATCCATCTTTGGGGAGGGGGAGTAAATTTGGGGGAGTAAGGAGGCTATGCCACATGGAGTTAGCCACTGGTCTGGACTATGGGCAAAACCTCTCTTGGTTCATCTCTGCAGTGGAGCTGGAGACTGACTAACAGCCCCTGGAATACATCTGTGTGTTTGTGGAGCTGGGAAGGAAAAGACCTGCACAGCCAGCCCATCTATGATGTATTTAATAGAACTTGGGGAGCCCTTGACAGAGACAGCTTTGCGTCCCTTTACCCTGTTCCATACCTGACTCAATCCCAACTCGCTAAGAGTTTGGACTTCCTGTAAGTTCAGATTGAGACCAGCAGGGACCAGAAGGAGAGACTAAAATTGCATGAAGTTCACAACAGAACCAGATGCTCACACACCCTCCAGTTCTGGCCTCCGTCATTCTGCCTGTCTGATAGCTTTGGACTTGATGAAGAATAGACCACAGGGAGGCATCCTGGCTGGAGTACGGATCAGAGCTGAAGGACAATCTCAAGGAGACTTTTGTGCTCCCCAAGAGCTCATGGCCATAAGCTTTGGCCCCAAATAAATCTGAGTTTGAGTCCCGGCTCTTCCAGGTACTACCTTGGCCGAGAGTTTTGCGGGCATCATTTCACTGAATCCACACACATCCTCATGATTTAGGCGAGGCTGCACAAAGCATGTTAAGGTCGGGGCTAAGATTCGGACTCGTGTCTGCTGATTCCTCAACAGCAACTCTTTCCCCTGTGTCCTGTTGTTTCTATGTTTTGCCATGGCAGATACAGGAGAAGGTTTTCTATATTTGCTTTCAGGGTGATGGCCCCAAGACAAATCATTTTCAGAAAGGCCACTTTCTCAGAAAAGATTCATAAATGTTGTTGGCAGAGGAGGAGTAACTGCCTTGCGATTTTCCTTCTAGAAAGTTTCTCGTGTCAGATGGAGCAGGACTAACAATGCTCCAGTTTATGAAACTAAAATCGAGCCTCAGCCTTCAAAAAGATAATGAGAAAAATTTATATCTCCTCAGATGGAAGGGAGAGAGTCTCTGGAGCAGGGCACTGGTGCCTTAAGGGAATGTTCCTGCAGTGACTGTACTGATGTCTCAGCCGGGGTCCTGCTGCACCGTTCACCAGAAAACTCACCGTTGCCCTGGGCCAACACTCTGCTCTGCAGACCACTCAGGAGTGGCAGCCAGGTGCCGCAAAGTGAGTCAGAGCCTCAGGCACGGCTTTTGACCACTAACCACCTCTTTTTAACTTGAATTTGATGACTTTAGCAATGCAGGTTCTTCTAGCCCCCTCAGTCCCGCCCCTTCGAGGCTGCCTCTCTGCTCACTTGCCCGGCTCCTGCAGCTGGGGCCAAGGTTCAGGTGAGTCTTGTTAAATAAGAAGCTTTTTAAAAAGGTGATTGAAAGTGAGAGAAATTGAGGAGAGGAATGCCCAAAGATAGATTCATTTTTCACTCTCCTCGTGGAGCAGCAATGTTCCTGGGGGGAAGGTGGAAGTGGGCAGATGGATCACTGACCCAAGTTCCGTGGAAACTAGGTGGAAGGAGTTTCAGGGACGTTCATGGATTTGAGTGATGGGCTCTTAAAAGTCAATTCTGCCTCTGAGAATGGCAGGTAGCTGGCCAGCCACTCGTCCGTGCGTCCTCCCATTAGACATTTGCTGGACAGCAGTGCCGGCACTGTGGGGGATACAAAATGAAGACTGAGTGATTGTCTTCCCCCAAGGACTTTACCACTCACCAGGGGTGCTGAGACACACTAAACTACCTGTGCTGCAAAGTGGGTGGCTAAGACATCCGACCTCAACGAGCTTTGTTTTAGAGAGACAGCAGGTCAGGGAATGCATACGAATGTCCTTTCACTGACTGGGGACAGGGGAGCCAAGGGGCATCTTTCACAAAATATGCTCAATTACTGTGTAGACTAAATGAAAGGATAAGGACAACGAGAAGTAATTTACTAAGCATTAAAAGACTATCCTGAGAATTTTATATGTGTTGTCTTGTTTGGTCTTCACAATAACTTTAATAAGTATGTGCTATTATTAGGCCCATTGTGTAGATGAAGAAACTGAGGCCAATAGAGGATATGAAGCCTGCCCAAGGTGACACGGCTTAGGGAGTGGAGCACCAGTCCAGTAGCATGGCCCGGGCTCCTAACTCCTCTGCTCTCTGCTCCCCGCGGTGTAAAAGCACACCCCTAGGAAGATCCAGTTCTGGAAGGAATGATTTCACTCTACCAAACTCCCAAGCAGGCTCACTCTACCAGAATGGGAAGGTGATCGAATCAAAGCTGGGAGGGGAGGGTTATGTTTGGCTATCTCACTTTCACCATATGTTCTTAGGCTCTGAGCCTGTGGGGTCCAAATAATCGTCACAGGGCGACGTTATCTGAGGTGGTGTATGAGAAAGTGACACACACACTTCCCATGCGGGGACGCAGGGCCGGCGGCCTGGCTGAGAGCCCGGCTGAGAGCCCGCAGGGAATTCGCGGAAGTTGGATTGCCTTCGGAGCCGGTACTCCACGAAACAGGCCGGCTTATCTTCCCGCGTTTATTTTTACTTAGGGGAACTCACCACCATGGGAACTGGGTCCCTTGTAGGGGACTGAGTGTATGAGACAAACCAAAACAGTGGAACAGCAGCTCCAGGGAAACCACAGCCCCGCCTGGTTCTGAAAGTGTTGCCGTTAGAGGAGGGAAACATTTTAGTGATGAAAAGAGAGAAAGGCATAGGGAACACTGGCTTGCTGCTCCTTCTCTCTTCGGGCACATATAAGCTTTGCTTATGCTCTTAGAGCTTCATATTGAAATTACCCCTCACCTACAATGCTAGAAATTAGGATAGAATAGACCACCCTGGAGGATCAGCCGCCAAAGCTACCTTTCCACCATACTATGACCCTAGTGCATTGCAGTTATGCAGCTTCCTGAAATGTGCTGGGTGTTTATTATACAAAGCGGCAACACTCCTGAGGAGATGGGAGCAATGGTAGAGCAAAGAAGGCCAGATGATCAAAGACCATAGACCTCAGTTTACATCTCAATTTGCATTATTAATCTGTCATAGCTGAGTTCTGTGGTCTGTCAGAACTTCTTGCAAGTTCTGGGAACAGGGAATTCAAGCTACTTTGCATAGTTAACCAAGCCCAAGCCCATCTCTCAATTCTTCTCTCAACACAACAGCAAAGTGAGTGATACAGAAGAGTAGTAGAGTATAAGCTGTTGAATAAATGAATCATAAATAAATAAATGCATATTTAAACAATATATGCATGAATGAATAAATGAATAATAACTGGATAAAAAGGACAGATAACTTCCAACCAGAGACATGTAACATATTTAATATCTAGTTTATCAGATCCACAAGTTCATCTGCAGCAATGTAAAAGAATAAATGAAATCCAGTTGCTGATAGTGTTAAAGTTTGTGTGTCAGCAAGGTCTCTCTTACCAGTCAGAACAAGGTACTTACCCTTACTTTATTCACTACATTTTCTAGAAACTTATCTTTACTTGGAAAACAGGGCTGTATTCCAGCAGCCGTCAGGCCAGGCCACATAGACAACTGCCTGCTCCTCCCACTTAGGAGAGAGGCCATGTCGATGGCCGGGGTGGGTGGGGAATGCAGAGAAACAGAGGTAGCTAAAGACCTATTTTGGAAGGGCTTGTGAAAGATCTCATTCCACGTAAGGTGAGAATCCACCATGGTCAGGTACAAAAATTATCTTCATCATCAAAGCAAAAAATGGCAAGCCTGAAGGGACTGTGGAATTTGGGGCAGAAACAAGAGACAGTAGTGTTGGAGATGGAACAAAGGGAGAAATGGGTGCACTGTTCTAAACCAGCACTGGGCAAGGCAGGTGCTGTGACGACCAGCAACGGCACAGGTAGAATGAAAGAGCAAAAATCATTTGTGGTCTGTGAACTAGAGCGGAGGAGATATTGTATTTGAAGAACAGGACTAAACAGCTAGGACAGGAAAGGGACCCTTAAAGGCAGTCTGAAGAGTTCAACTGGCCTGTTGCAACTCTGTAAGAAGGGCTGCCACAGCTGGGACCCTTGGTAGGCAGTGGGACTAGAATTCCGAGTAAAACACTCCCTGATCATGTGGAGTTTGGGTATAGGAGGTGGCAGGAAAATTCCTGCATAAGTAGTGAGAACCTGGGATGTGGGCCCAGCTCTCCCACTGGGTTGCCCTGGACAAATCATGGCAACCCTCTGGGCTTTGCACGCTGTGAAGGGGCAGGACAAATGGTCTTCCTTGCACTCCATGTCCAAGGGCTCTACTCCTAAGCAGAAGAAATATCCATTTGAAGTTCACCAATTGATTGTGCTTCTCTTTATCTTCTATTTATTTTAAATTCAAGTAAAATGAATTACATCATCTTTTATTTTAAAATGGCATGAATAATACAATCCTGCATTTGTAAATTTCTAGATGAAAAATTCTATGTGCATCCATTTATTCATTCTTCCATCTAACTATGTATTCATAGAGGTATATCGGGAGCAGCGTTCCCCAAATTTCCTTCAGTTGAAACATTCTGAGCCATTTGGATTTTAAGGGTGAGCATAAGTCATTTCTACATAACAAAGACTTTATTATTTGCATAAAAACGGAATACTTGTTAGGAATTTAGGTCAGTGAGAGTGTGTAACTGGCAGGCAGGGTCTTGGGAAGGGGTCCGTTTCTGTGTCATTGTCCTTAGGATCCCAGGAGTTGTTCTCTTCTCTGCAGGTACCAGACGTGCTCCAACAACGGACTGGTGGCGGGGTTCCAGAGCCGCTACTTCGAGTCAGTGCTGGACCGGGAGTGGCAATTTTACTGCTGCCGCTACAGCAAGAGGTGTCCATATTCCTGCTGGTGAGTCTGGCAGCCAAACCCAAACCCTCATGACTCCTGGGGCTGGCGGGGAGCCTGGGGGTGTCCTGGTCCATGTGTGGCTGGCTTCAGATAAGCCTGGGCTGTCACAGACAGGCCTGGAGTGCAGCAGTTGGCCTATAGAAGAGGATGAATGAATGAGTGAGCTATAAGAATGTTCACACTGAGAAGGCCCTTATAGATTATCCGACCCAATGCTCTCAGACCATTCTTTGGGCAGAAGAGGAAACAGAACAATCGAGCAGGCAGTGAGTAACTGGCCCAAAGTCACCCAGCTATTTCATCTGGGTGCCAATTCCTGACCTGAGTCCTACCAACTCCTGTCCCCGTGCTCTTTCCTTCTCCCACGCTAACTTTTCATCACATCCACGGCTGCCGGACCTATTTGGGAATCTATTTTCCTGCAGTCCCCCTTTGGGAGAAACCAACCCTGTCATGGGTCAGAGTCTAGTGTATAGTTATAGACAGGAGAAAAGTGTTGCTGTTTTCTGGATCAATTTGGAATTCCAGCCTGTGATAATTTGTTCCTTTCCCTCTCCCAGGGCTGATGCTGAATTATCTCCTGACCTAGCCTTCCAATTGACCAGGAGAACTTGTATATATTTATTTACCCTGATAACTGACATTGGGTGTTGATAACACGATGCGTCCAGGTTTTTGTTCTGCCAACAAGCCAGGCATTTCTGCACTGGGCAAAGGGATCCAGAAGTGTCCTCATTTGAAGGCTGACTCACTCAAGTGATTTATCTCTCTGCAGTTGGGTGCTTGGAAGGACAGCCTTGCGGGCTATGCTTACCCTCTGCAATCGCTGTCACTCCACAGATGCCCAAGTGGTGCACGATGTCTCTAGGGACAGACAGGTCCAACAGCTTAACGTTTTTCTTTTTAAAGTAATGACTAGTAGTAAATTCAGAGCTCAAAGCCAGCTGATATCTGGAGCTGTATGGCGGAAAAGGGGCCTCCTCCAGCTCTTTAGAACTGCTTCCATGAGGCAGATCTTACTATACCGCAGCAGGTGAGCAGGCCTGGCTGTGGTTCGTGAGGCAACTGTGATAGTTCTCGAACCGAAGACTAAAAGGTCTCACGTGGTGGAGAAAGTGGAAGGAACGCTGGTGTAGGCAACAAGAAACTGGAGTTCCAGTCTCTGCGGGGCCCTCCTCACTCCCCTCCCCTCCTCCTCCTTCCCCTCCCCGTTCCCTGCTGTAGCTGTGTGGCTCTAGCAAGTTACTTTACTTCTCTGGGGAAACTGAAGTACGTCACTGCAGTGATGGCCACCTTGGCTGAGTCTCCAAGGTTTTTAAAAATCTGCTGAAAACTATAGACCTTGTCTTCACAGGATAAAATGCACTTAAGCTTGTTTATACAAAAGTCTACAGGAGATTCAGAAGTCCTCGAACTCCCCAAAGGCCCTTCACGGACACACCGCCAAGAACCCCTGGATCACAAGTTGACACTCCCAGGACTAGGAGAACAAAACTAGGTTGTTTTGAGAGCTAAAAAATGACTTAACTCCAAAGGCGCTTTTGCAAAAGGCAGTCCAGATGCCAGAACTGTTTTCAAAGGGAGGATGCAGGTTCCAAAGAAGAGGGGGCCCCAGCGAAAGGGGGAGTAGGTAGGAGCCTGCCCCCTGTGATTGGGCTTGCCCCCATCTGCCCTTCCCAGTCTGCTAACAGAAGGGCACTTCCCACAGTGAAACCAGCCTCCCTTTATTGCAAGGCATTAAAAGCCAGTTAAAATGTAAGTAAGTCATCTTAAAGAGCAAGCAAAAACTAGTACTCAGTCAGTGAATCCATTGGCCACATTAGCAAGACTCTCCCTGGGTCAGGCTCTGAAGGAACCCATAAGGGCTGGGTGCACTGGGTGGCCCAGAGGAGTGTGTTTGGAGCAGGAGAGGGAGTGGACAGGAGAGGAGGCAGCCTGCGTGGGCTGCAGGAGGGAGGGTGGGAAGGCTGGGCCTCCCAGAGGTGTGTGGCCTGTCCCCCTGCAATAGGCACCTCTGTCGTAGTACTTGTGTACCATTGCCCCTCTCTGGGCTGTGAGCATCTGGAGGATACGGGACTCATTCATCTTTGTATCCCCAGCGTCCAGCACAGTGCTCAGAGCATGGCCGTCTTTTTAACAACTGTTGCACGAGTGCTCAGACGAATGATTCTGGAGGGCGCGCAGGATAAAGTGAAGTGGGTCAGAAAACATAATTTTCTTACTAAAAACATTTTTTTAATCTCCGCCCCCAACCTCACGCCTCTGCCTATAATGTAAGCTCTATACAAGCAGAGATCTTTGTGCTGGTATATGTCACGCCCTTTAAATAATGCCAGGCACACAGCAAGCACTGGCTAACATTTGATGAATGAATGAATAACTTCAGCCTGCTTCCTACTTTTGTTGTAAAGACTAAATGAGATAATATATGCCTGGCGATGACACTGGCTGATCACACAGAGCTGGCCTGTCTTGAAGCAGAGTCCCCTTCACCCTCCCAGGGGCAGGAGAGGCCCAGCCTCCTCACTAACTAACAGCCTTGCAAAGGCAGACTTTGCTCAGGGGTCAGATGGCCTTGTGTGTAGGGGCGCTTGAGACTGGAGTTTATTATGGTTAGGAATAAGACATGCGACCACTTGGACAGTCCGTTGGGGGTGCACTGACTCATTCTTCCCCAGGAAAGGAGGAGTGAACAGGGCAACAACATTCCTCATCGCAGCAAGGCCCCGGGTCTCTGCCAAGACGGGTGGGAGAGCCTGCCGCGTCCGGGCTGTGCTGTCATGGCTGCCATATGGCTCCTGGCCGCACGGACAGGGAGTGGGCGTAGGGCTAAGGCTTTGGGTGATCAGGCAGGCAAGGAACTGAGGCTCACTGGTTGTAGAAAAGTTGTCAAACAGCAGAGGTGGGAGTAGAATAAAGGGGAAAACATCTAAATCTTCCCAGAATTCCCATATTCCATAGATTTCTGTGATCTATGTCTATACTCTGGGCATTGCTGCTTGAAGCCTATCCTGTTTATTTGGATGCTGAGACCTGAAAAGGACAGGATATTTGTGTCTCGAATTCCAGTGTTATTCTAATGATGTCCCAGACTTCCAGTGATCACCTGGGAGCTGATTCCAGGCTACTCCTGCTTCCTCACAAATGTTAAGTCCCCTTACTCTCATACACTTTAGAAATGACTTCTCAAGTCATTGGCTGCAACTCACCAATTTAAGATGCTAAGAATTTAATGATTATGGAGATATACATGTAGGAATAAAGTCCCAAGGTCTAAGATTGACAACTAGAGATGAGCAATTTTCTTGAATTGCTGGAGACATTCAGCTCTGGTGGCAAAATTACCCCCAGCCTTGGTCTGCAGTGGCCTTCCCACCCCCACTCACACCCCGACCTGCACACTCCTCACCTTTCCTCACCCCATCCCACCATCCAGGAGTGTTGCTATTGGTCAGTGGAACCAAAGGGTGGGGGAAGAGGAGAGAATTACTCAGAAAGACATGGCAAGTCAACTCTGAAGCAAATCCTGCTAAGGTATGCTGGTTCTATTTCTTATAGCCTGGTGTTCAAGCTGAGAGCTACCATGGTTGCCAAAAGAGATGGTACTTTTTCAAAGAAAATCTTGAAGAAGCAGCATAATGAAATTGCAGTGTGCACCATGGTTCATAGTGTATGACTCACCATCCCACTGGTATGTCTAGACATTTTAGTGGCATCTTTAAATTGCCTGAGTCATGACGTTATATTATACAGCTTTCTAAATTGAATGAAGCCTCTAGAGTGTAAATTAGGTCTTATTTCTTTAGCATCTCAAGCCTGGCATAAAGTAGACCCTTAATAAATTTGTCAAATGAGTAACCAAATGTTGCAGGCCCCTAGAAACCATAACGATGGTGACACCTGATATTGATATGATGTTGTTTTACAGTTGACAAAGACGTCTTTCTTGTCTTGGTCTATTTTATTTGATCCTTTTAACAGCCCGGCAGAGTGAAGTGAGAACTATTTTCCCACACATTCCCACAGTGAAATGTTGATAACCCTCCTATTTGAAACCTTGCCTTACATCACTTTAACTAGCTTAAATTACCTCCCAGGAAACTGGACACGTGGAGGTGGGGACGACATTTTTCCCTTCCCACCTTGAAAGACCTTCTGCAGCAGGGAGCCTGATGCTGTTTTGGACTAGCTAAGTGAGCATCTAGCGGCTCCATGCTCGCAAGCGTTTAGGGATTCAGAAATATCACCGCTCTGGGCTGGAAAAAACAAATCATCTAAGCAACTCCCAAGTGAGTGTGGGATTTATTTGTTTGGTGGAAACCAAGGTGCTGCTTCCATTTCAGTTTGTGCAGTTTCTTGTTGTTTATTATAGTATTATAGCATCACTGAACTCTGGCAAGAAAGTGAATTCCTGATAGATACGGACATGTCGTTACAAAACGGTCCCCACTGGATTGGATGACTGTCTAAATTTTACACGTGTTTATTTACATATGAGAATTCGAATTCTTAGTCCAGTGGTCTGCAAACCACAAACACATGTCACTGAAGTAGCCACAACCCTTCAGAGACCGTTTGTAATAATTCCCTCCTCTCCAAACAGCTCAGCAGATACACGCTGAGCACCAGACTGTCTCCTGTCTGCTCAGAGACTGTGGCCCAGGAACTGATGGTTTTGAATTGAGCAACTATTTCCTTTTCTAAATAATTCTTCTGAAGATGCATGGCCTTTCATTAGGTTCGTTTGACAATGTATTTTGACCATAAACATAAAGAATCAACTTAGAGAACCTTTGTTTTCTTCAACCCTGAGATTCTGTGATGCTCACACTTTGCGTTCCCCACTGCCTACCTCCCCAGTCCTGTGCTCAAGTCAGAAGCCAAAGAGTTGTTTTTCTTAATTTTTGGACAGCTCCGGTTAACAACAACAATATCAGTTAGTGAGAACGTTCTTCACCTCTTGCCAAACACCCAGTCTAGACTAATCTTTAACTCCTATC